AAATTTCTATTTCTTGAAATTATAGCATATTGGATTATAAAAAATTAAAAACTTAAAGAAATTCTTCTTGATTTTTATCATTTTAAAGAATCTTATTCTAATAAAATATTTTATATATATTTTATAAGATTTTAATAAATATTAAATATCACATATAATATAGATATTGTATTTACTAATTTAGAAAGTTATTTTTTAAATGATAATATAATTTTAATTCTGAATACCAATATATATAATGTTTAGTCTATATTATTAATTGCTCAAGAAACTCTTTAATATTAAAGAAATTAAATAAAAAAAGAAAAAAATGTATTAGAAATATAAAATACATCAAAATATGAAAGTAAGATTACTTGTTTAAACTTATTTTGAATTTAGCATAACGTTTAAACTATAGTTTTACTAATTTTTATTAAGGTTTTGATATTATTTCACATTTTTATAAGCTTTGATATAGTTTTACCTTTTCTAGAATTTTGCAGATTTTTTAATAAGGTTTTAATATAATTTCACTAAATTTTACCTTTTTTCATTTAGACGACTTGCAAAACCTTTAGGTTTCATTTAATAAGCTTATATGAAAATAATTAAAAAAATATAAAATTTTATTTTTTATTTAATTTATACTAATTATTAATAGTTAAGAAAATTAGTAGTTAAAATTTATGCAACACCTCAAAGATATGAAAAACTTAATTGTTAATATATTGTTTTAAAAATTAAAATTCTTTAATTAATTCTAAATATTAAAACACATTGGAATTCAACTTATGATATGATAGAAAAGCATTAATACTATATAAATAATATATAAAATTTAAACTAAAATTATATACACTTATCAGTTTCTTATATAAACTTACTTTTTTATATATAATTTATCTATTTTTAGTAATAATTTGAATATATTTTATATTGTGTAATATGTGTACACTAAAAATAATATTTTTTAATTTATTATTTATCATCATCCTTTTTAACATCTCGATATTCAGCTTCATTATTACCGCTACTTTCATCATTACCACTTCCACGTTTTTCAGATTCACGCTAAATTATAAATTTAAAATTGTGATTAATACTTTTAAAAAAAATTATATAAAATCGACAAATTATTAATACTTACCTTCTTGTATACCATTTCAAATAATTTTAAACTAGCTAATTGTACTTCACCAACTTTGGATTTAATTTCTTCTGCTTTAATAGTATCGTCACCAGTTTGTGCTTTTGCTACCATTTCTTTTAAAGATTGAATTTGTGATTTAATATTTTCAGATTCTGTTGAGTCCAATTGATCCTTATATTCTTCTATATTCTTTTCAGTTTCATGAATTACAGATTCTGCATGATTAGATGATTCAATAAGTTCTCTCTTTTCACGATCTGCATCAGCAAAACGTTCAGCTTCAAGGATCATTTTCTCGATTTCATTCTTACTCAAACCAGAAGAAGCAGCAATAGTAACTTTATTGTAAAAGATAGATTAATATTATAGATTCAAATAATGAAAAGTAAAAATAAAAATTTTTTTTACTTACTAGATTGATCTTTTCCAGTAGCTTTATCTTGAGCAGAAACATTTACTATACCATCAGCATCAATATCAAATGAAACTTC